TAATTTTAGCCCAAGGTTGAATATACTTAAAACAAGAAAACACCCAATAGCCTTACATGGGAATATAATGAGAGCTCAGTGGAAATTGGGTCAAGACTTTTGGGCCTTTAAAAGATCATTAACATTATGAAGAGGATTCACGTGGCCTTGAGATTGGAGAAATTATTTGGAGTAACCTGGGAGCAATATATATATTTTGGGACAATCACGGAGCCTGGGGATTGGAGAGTCACGCATCAGATACAGAGCCGCCACACGAAAACGGAGAGAAAAGGCAGACTGAACGCGAGGAATCCGGCAATCGCGGAGAGAAGCCGCACCCGTACACGAGGGAGATAATTAATCTCTCTCTTTTATCATTTTATTTTTATTTATATTTATTATGTTAGAGTAATTTTTATTCTAGTTTCGGGGATGTCGAACCCTACGACTTACGATGTTTGATTGATTTATGTGGTTGATTATTGAGTTGTCTTTTTGGAATTGTTTGTGTTATTTTGAATAATTAACCATGATGTGTTGAGTCTTATTTAGATTGATCACCTAGATTAGGCTTTACATATCTACACCTGAATTAGGCCTTCAATCCGTAATTGTTGATGCGTTTAATTCGCAAGTGGTATCCGGAAGATGGTAACTACCGGGGATAACACGACCTATTTAAGTGAACGAATGCGTCATTACTTAGTCTAGCCTATTTTTCTAATTCGTAAAGCGACTGATTGTATTAAATCTAAGAAGCGTTTTCTAGATTGTACAAGAAGTCAGGTCTAATCGTAGAGCGTCTCGCGGTTAGATTAAAAATAAGGAAAAATTCGGGTAACAGACCGTGTCGTTGCCTAGGGCTAGTAATTTCAAAAGATAGCGAGATTGATACCAAAGTTGATTAGACGAGTCAGTCGAGGGTGTAGACGGAACCGTGAACTAGATGTTTCTCTTATTTTATTATATTTTATTTTTATTTCTTTTGTTTAGATTTTATTTATTGCATTAGGATTTTAGTTAGTTAAGTTATTAAATCCAATCCCCCCTTTATCGCTTTTATAATTCAATTAATACAAGAAAATTAACGATTTGATACACACTCCTCGTGGGATCGACCCTTACTCACTACTACTACCAGTTGGTAGAAGTTGTAAGGAAAAATAAATTTTACAATTTGACTGTCTTGCGACAAGCGGTCAGACTTATAATATTTTGTTTGCATATGTACATTTACACTGTTCTATTGTCACACCAATAACACAAATCAAATAATGCATATTATTTATGTATAATACTTTCGTTTCGAAAGAAAAATGATAACAAAAAATAAAAAAAAATTAATGCATTATAAATGATATTATTTTTTCAATATTTTATTTTTACGGTGATACTTCTTTACTCACGGTAGACACATATGTGACATGCATTTATTGATGATGTTAATATATTAAAAAAAAATATGTATATGCCACATAAACGGTGAACATATTCATCTGTTCCTTAGGGAAACATTCGTATATGTCTAGTTGAATATGGAATTTTTTACCCAAAAAAAAAAAAAAAAA